CCTCCCTTTTAGTTTTTACAACTGATGGAAATTGTTCCAACACACAATTTATTTGGATTTTACCTACTTCCAGGGGTAAAAACATAGAACAAAACAGGTCAAAACAAAACACAAGAACCATACAAATAAGAGAGATGTGTTCAGAAGATGGGAGAACTGGTTGCTTAATGGGAGGGCTGGCCCTACTTTTGGACAGAGTGGGGCAGCTGCATCAGGCAGAAGATTTCTGGTATCAAGAAAAAGTAGCAATTTGTTAGCTCTATAATTTGTTGCTTTTATATCTCTACTGCAAGGAAAGGGGAGAGAAGGATATAACATTTTCTGCATTTTTTGTCAGACTTAACTGGGCAGGCTTTGGATACTCTGCACCTTGAATAGTCCGGTGCAGGTGTGGCATCTGCCACGTCACTTTTCAATAAAATTTGGCCAAGTCCTACCAGGAACACTCCTTTGATTTCCAGAGGTATCCTAAAAGATAAAATCACAAGGAAAGGTACCCACGTGTAGATTGCTTTGCAGATCTCCTCCGTGGTCCTGCCTGCCTTGCGCAATGTGATGGCAAGGTTCTTGGCCCGATTGGCCTCCAGGAGGGTGACTTTGTTGGCAGCTTTATGCGATGCCTTGTTCTTAGAGCAGAGGAGATCGATGGCTGGGCCCTGGGCTTTGGTCTTAAAGAGCTCCTCAAATTTGTCGAGGTCAAGGTCCTGGTAGAGACAGAAGAGAGTCACCCATGCAGCCGCCGGAGACAATCCTACCCAAAACAGTCTATAATAGCTTGCCACTGGCCTTTCCATTAGACTACAGCATTAAAAAACTTGTGGTCGCAAGCATTTATGTTTTGGGAGCCTGCCCAACATAGGAAATATATCAATGGCCCTAGATTAAGGAGAACTGATTTCAAATCTATACTCAATGGTTTCCATGAGCCTAAACAGGAGAATCCTGTGCATATCATCCTGAGTTTGGAGAAACTGTGGGATACCAAGGAATGTAAGAAACAAAAATCAGACCAGAATCCTGCATCTCAATGTGAAAGTCAGGCTCCTCCCGCCACCATATTCTGCTGCTTCTTAAAGGTTGCTGCTTACTTGGTACTGCTCATCATTGAATTCCTCTGGCTGGGTGTAGAGTTCAGGCCCAGTAATTCTATGTGCTCTCTCCCACGGTGTCACCCTCCTACCGGGCAAGAGCCCATACCTCGCTATGATTCTACATTTACCTTTGCCAATTTTCCTCTTGGCTCCTTCATTCTCCATTCTAAACTGTTTCCCACCCATCTGTTCTTTCAGATTCCTACTTTCAGTCAAGTGCCTTTGTTCCATTTCACGTTTTAATCAGTCTCTCTAGCGTGGAACTCCTCTTTCCTCCCACTGTATTCAATCTCTGCTGATTCCAAGCACAGTAATGCTTCCTCTGAGTTTACTCTCTGACAAGTTCATTCTTGCCCCAGTTCCCTGACTCTTCTGTCTGTTTTCTCCATCTACCATGCTTTCAGGTTCTTGATTTTTCATCTAGTGTTTATGGAGCCCTATGGCATAGTGGTTAAACTACAATACTGCAGTCAAGACTCTGCTCACGATCTGAGTTTGATCAGGATGAGTTCAGGTAGCCAGCTCAAGGTTGACTCTGTCATCCATCCTTCGAAGATCAGTAAAATAAGTACCCAGCTCATGTGGGGTGCGGGAGACATGTTCCTTGCAAAATTATACTGTAAAACACCCAGAAAGTGCTTTAGTACCATGGGGCCGATATAAAGTGAAACAATAATACTGTAATAGTAATAATATTACAAGCCATTGCTTCAGCTTCCTTTCATTTGGGGAAAATGTCCCCTACCTTCCCTACATCCTGGAGTCTCTTTTTACACCCATGTAAAGTTCTATTATCATCCAAACTGATATGAAAACTTTCCTGATATCCTTTCTCTCACAGAAGCTAAACTGCAAACTGTTTCATTCCATTAACTTTTCAATTGTATTAGATAATAATACATAAAAACAAACTCCAGTTACATCCAGATAATCATAATGCCACTGCCTATCTGTGACGGTTCAAATCAGAGGGAATAAACAGTAAGGATGAATATTATCGCAAATTTTATCACCCACAGAATTGGGGCAGTGAAAAAAACACCTTTCTCTCTCAGTAAATCTATTTTAAAATGTTTGATCTTCCCAAATTGTTGAGCCACTGAATCATTCTGCGCCAGCACATTAAACTGGCCCCTTGTTGATGACTTGGCTTTGCTACCACAGGCACAATAGAGAACCAAATCAACAGATTAGAAATGGGAAAACAGTGGCTGGAAACACTGCTTTCTCTAAACCTCATTGACTCCCCTCTTTTCCTCACCTCCAGGATCTTTTCATCATCTAGTTCACTGAAGACTGTGCCACTGATCTGGTTGGGCTTCAGTGCTGTCCAATTAAAAACTGGCAAGCGGAATTTGGTCTTGATGGGCTTCTTGATTCGGATCGCTTCAGACACAGAGGAGAGAAAACACAATCTTATGTGACCACTATACATCTAGAAACCACTGGACCACATTTTCAGGTCATTTCGAACTGGTAACCGGGAAGAAAGTGATTTGTTATTGCTTCAGTTTTTGGTTCAGTATTGTTGGGTCCTTCTTAGCCATGGTTTCTCAAATGAGACACTTTAGAAACTCCTATGCCTGTAGGCAAACACTTTTATACACTCACCATGTGGGCTGGGGGATTTTGGGCACTGTAATAATTTTTTTACAGTGGACCCTCGACTTACAGACAGCTCAACTTACAGACTTTTCGAATTACAGACTTCTCTGGCTGCAAAATTTAGGTTCGACTTGCAGCTGGAGAATTGACCTACAGACCAGAAAAAAACCAAAATGGAACAAAAATGGAACAAAAACGGACGGTTACGGATTAATCGCTTTTCAGTGCATTGTAGGTCAATGGAGACTCGACCTACAGACTTTTGACCTGCAGCCACCGTTCCAATACGGATTAATTCCGTAAGTAGAGGGTCCACTGTATTCCCCAAGCTGTGCCTGACAGTTCTGTAGGCAATGTTCACGGACTGCCAAATCTATATGTGCAACCTTGAGATGTCAATTTTTTAAAAAAAAGAAAAAGGAAATCTGAGATTCTCAGGAGCTGAATTCTGAGCCCAGGATTCTTTATGGAAGAACAACATCTCTATATCCCATCTTTTAGACCTTTCTCACTTGCACTGTTTTCTTTATAGGGGTAGGAGGGTCAAGCCTCTGCTCATGACCCGATGAGTTCAGGTTGCCAGCACAAGGTTGACTCAACCTTCCATCCTTCCAAGGTTAATAAAACGAGTACCCAGCCTTCTGGGGAGCAAGTTGTTGTTTACATAATTATGTTGTAAACTGCCCAGAGAGTGCTTTAGCTCTATGGGGTGGTATACAAGTTGAAACAACAACCACATCGCAACAAGCAAAAATATGTACCTGACAAGCCCATACTGAGTATCACAGAGGGGGATGTCCCAGGGAGTGGTGGGGCTGGTGGGCACTTATCTGTGAGAGGCAAAACAAAACAAAACACAGGAATCAGGCTTCATCTTCCCTGCTCAGAGGCTGGTTTCCTCCTCAGCTCTGGAGCACACCTTTNGGGGAAGCCTCCACAGGAGGCAGCGCTGGGAGGCGCAGGTCATCCTCGGGGATGTCGCTGAAGTTTATCTCTGCTTCTGGAGGGGGTGGCAGTGGGAGGTGGTCACCCCCTGGAGGGTGAGAGTTATAGTGACGCCGGAAAGCCTCCTCCTTCTCCTTGATGATTCTGCGGAGGGTGTGGACTTGGTTGCTGGCACTTTCATAGGAGCCTCCACAGGAGGCAGCGCTGGGAGGCGCAGGTCATCCTCGGGGATGTCGCTGAAGTTTATCTCTGCTTCTGGAGGGGGTGGCAGTGGGAGGTGGTCACCCCCTGGAGGGTGAGAGTTATAGTGACGCCGGAAAGCCTCCTCCTTCTCCTTGATGATTCTGCGGAGGGTGTGGACTTGGTTGCTGGCACTTTCATAGGTCTCCTGTCACCAAAAAAAAAACAAACCAAAAAACAGGGAGACCAGGTCAGGCCTTTTCTTAAGTCCATTCAGCCGCAACCATTCATTGCCTGTTTCTGAGCGGATCTCCACGTCAACGCACAAAGGGCCACATTAGGCATCCAGTATGATAGCAAAGTTCATGTCACTAGGGCCTCCAAGAGGAGGACATTCCTCAAAAGGGACCCTCTAGTGACAGAACAGGGGCTCAAATCCAAAATCTTACAGTGGGTTACCTCTATTTGTTTGTTTGTTTGTTTTATAGGTGGCTTTTCTCCTAATAAGGGGACCCAAGATCACCTATAGGGTTCTCGATCACCCTAGCAGTCATACAGAGAGTAAAGGGCAATTTGGAAAGAGACTTCCATGCAGTTCTTGAGAAATGAGCAGCCTGGTACAGAGAGAAACATTCCTGCAGGTATTTGGGATCTAAGCCCTTTAATATTCTAATGGGAAACATTAACAGCCAGAACTGGCCAGATAAGCAAACAGATAACCAGTGCTGCTCCCTTACAGGGTCATATGATTCCACCTGGCCACACCTGTCAAGAGTCTAGCAAGAGTCATTCTGCACTACCCGAAGCTTCTGGGATATCTTCAAGGGCAGCCCCATGTGTAACAGTAACCCCAACATTGCAGTAACCCAGCTAGGAATTTACCAGGGCAAAAAACACTGTGACTAGGATATCCATCCCTACAAAAAAGTTTACTTTAAATAAAAAAAATCTGGCCCTGCCCTTGTCTTCTTGGAAAAGCCTCTCCCCTTCTCTTGTCAACATACCTTGACAATTTCCAATTCCTTCTCCCGTTGTAACAGTTGCTTCTCCAGCTCTGCCACCCGCATAATATTCTCATTTTCCAAATCCAGCAGTTTCTCAGTCAACTGGATAGTGTAAGGTAAAATAGAACAGAAACCGATAACTGTTTGTCCAAAAGGTCACAAATTGGGATGTACTTCCTAAGAATTTCTCAAGAGCTGTGTTTGTCTGAACATTTATTTATTTATTTTCTTAAACAAGTCACTGGTGTTCATGGTGACAGAGATATTTGAAAACACGCAAGCTGTGTATGGACGCGGTATCTTTTTATTTGGTACTCAGCCAGATGGTTCGTTCTTTGCACAGGGCATCCTCAAATAACTGAATTTATCTCCCACAACATAGTGGTGATGATAACAACTTAGTGGCTTAGAGGGCTTTAAAAAGAGAATTGGTCAATTCAGCAAAAGGCCAGTCTAGCTCAGAGCTTGGAAAGGCTCCCCTTTGGATGTAGAACTCTGAGGATCCCCAAATGCCAAAGCAGAACAGATTTTTTCCATCCAAGCTCTGTTTAAGGCATCTTTGACTGGCAGCCCTCTGAGGAAAAGGACCCTGGACTAGGCAGAGCCTGGCCCTTCATGCATGCGCTCTTAGGATGACTTGGTAGATACACGTACATGGGATAAGTGCTCTTCCAACTCTTCCACCTTCTCCAAAGCCACATTCTTGGTCTCAGCATCCTCCAGCAACCCACCTACATCAAACACGTTGTCCAGATAAGCCTGGATCTGGACTTGCAGCTTTTCACTTTCTGTGTGTCTTGACTTCTGCAGAGAGAAAATAAAGTCTGGCGTGAGAGAAAGAATTGCACAGAACCGAGGAAGAAATGACTGGGAGCTGGAAAGGCAGCAGGCCTTTGTCCTGTCAGACTATCGTGTGACCAAATATCAAGAATAATGTCCTTTATTACCTACAACCTGTGATGTGTGCAGGGGCCACCGTCTCACCCTGCAGGATGAGTCCCCTAGGACCTTTATGAACAAGACAGCAGTTAGGTGTATTTTAAGTACAGATGGATTTTTTATTTTATACTACTGTAGTTTAAATAGTATGGCTTCCTTTCTACCATACAGTAACCTGGGAATTGTAGTTTGGGGATGTGCTGCATATTCTGTTAAGAGACCCTTAGCCTCTCTTCACAGAACTACAGTTCACAGAGATCCCTATAAGATTAAGAGAAAATTAAACTGGATTAACTTTGCAATGTAGCAATGTCCTTTGCAATATCTTGAACTAGCACCCCTCTTATAACTGACAACACCTTCCTCACCATCACCCAAGAACAACACCCTCCTTAAAAAGGTGTTTTCATCTCTTTTCACTCTGGTTGATTCTTCCATTGTAATTTTCCTTACCATCATACTGAAGTGTTCTGACTTCTCAACTTGCCCATATCACCGTTTTATCCCTGCATTGCTTTAGTGACTGGTTCGCCTTGACAGTCAGTGACCTCAGCTCTGAGGACAACACTCTTGACCTCCCAATTTCTGCCTTGGGCTACATTTGGTTTAAGCTGAAACTGAGACAAAAGCTGGCTGGCATCTAACCAGTTCTGACTCAGAACTTGCAACCAGTCTTCTATCATGCCTACTAATTTAATTAATATCCATGGGCACAATAACAGCTATAATATACAATATACAATTTCATTTCTAACAGGAATTTGTTTCAGCCTTTAAAAAATGTCCAGAGTTGCCATTTATTCTTGTGTGCTCATCATGCATGCATGCATGCATGCATGCATGCATGCATGCATGCATGCATGCATGCATGCATGCATGCATGCATGCATGCATGTATGTATGTATGCATGCATGCATGCATGTATGTATGCATGTATAATATTTTTACTCTGCTTTTCTCCTTTAAAAAGACACATCATTTTACATCATTAAAATATAGTATTTAAAGTTAAAAACAGTAAGCATACAAATGATAGAAAGGGTCAAATACAGCACTATAACATGATAAACAAAAGTACGGTAAAACAGTTAAGTATACAAATATTAAAAAGGAACCAGCAAATATCTCCCTCAGAAATGATAAACAAAAGCAAAACTAAAAACACATTCAAAGCAGTAAGGCACAACCATCCATTTAACAATCCCACTCAGGCAGCCAGTCATCAAGGAAACACTTGCCTGAAGAGAAAGGTCTTCACCTGCTTGCAGAAGGACAGCAAAGATGGGACCAGGCTGGCCTCTTGTGGGAGGGAGTTTCAAAGTCTGGGAGTAGCAACAGAGAAGGCCCTCTCCTGCGGCCCCACCAAATGCACCTGTGAAGGTGGCAGGACTGAAAGAAAGGCCTCTCCTGACGATCTTAACACCCAAGCAGAATCGTAAAGAGAGATGTGGTCCTTGAGATAGCTTGGACTCAAGCCATTAAGGGCTTTATAAGTTCAAATCAATACCTTGAATTGAGCCTGGAAACAGATTGGCAGCCTGTGAGGCTGCTGTAACAGGTTGGTTATATGATCCCTGTGATCAGCTCCAGTCAACAATCTGGCTGCTGCATTTTGGACCTGCTGATGTTTCTGGATACTTTCCAGAGGCATCCCCAAGTGGAGTGCATTATAGTAACCTGACCAGGATGTAAGTAAGGCATGTGTCACTGTGACCAGATTAGACTTCTCTAGGAATGGGCACACCTGGCACAAAAGGATAACATTCTGTCTTCACAAAGGTTCCAAAGGGTATTCTAATTTTTTACAACTGCTCTTCAGCTGTTCTCTCTCTCTCTCTCTCTCTCTCTCTTTCTCTCTCTCTCTCACACACACACACACAAGCTTGGCCAATCACTTCACATTGAGATTGATTGATTGAGCAATCCATGTAGCTTATAAATCATCCAATTTAGTGAAATCACTATTCAAGGTAGTTTACATAATATAAAACAAGCATATATCCAAACCAAAAATAATCAAAAGAAAATACTCTCAGTATTGTTAATAAATCAACATTAGCAAAAAAAAGGCAACTCTCAGCTGACGCCTGACATAAAATAACTCCAATTAAATCATAATACAGTAAATCATAACAAGATGAACAAAATATAATCTCAATACTGTATAACAAATAAAGGACAATAAAATAACATCAAAATAAAAAATCAAATTCATTTCTGCTAAAAGTATTAGCTTTCTTACTTATCCTTAGCAAGGGTTGTGTTGGTTGTTCTTTAGCCTAGATTGCATGTTAGCACATGAAATATATCCTAATATCCACATTGAAGTATCTTGAGCAAGGGGAGTGACCTGAGGCTTTTTGGAACGATCTCACACAGCCTTCGGCCCAAATTTGAAACCCATTTGTAAGCGATCAGTTCAAAACCTTCACAACAGCAATCTGTGTGGATGTGGCTAAATTCTACCAGCTCTTCTAGAGTAGTTTAGAAAAAGGTAACCTGTTACCTGTAAGAATTCTTCTAGACCCAGCTTGGTGAACTCGTACTGCAGGTGCACTCGGAAGTTCATGTCCTCAACTGAGTGCACCACGATGTTGATGAACTGCATACAAGCCACCTGAAAAAAAGAGAGAAAGGAAGAAAGAGGAACAGATAAGATTTGTTGTTCCCCTGTGGTTTTGTTTAGGCCAGAATCCCCCCCCCCAACCTGGTACCCTCCACACATGTTGCATCATCACCAGACAAGTCCAATAATACAAGGGCTTGCCCAGTACCATGTTGAAACATCCAGTCTTCCCTCCTGTTATTATCAAACAAATAGACAAATGCTCACTTTGGCCTGTTGTGTGTGTGTGTGTAATTCCTGGTAGCTAGGAGAATTAAAATCCCCCTTAAAAACCTTACCTGATTTCAGGTAAGAAATGAGACTAATGTTTTTTTTAGCTTCTGTCCCCACCCCCACCCCATTTTCTTTGTACAGTAGTGTGTGTGTGAGGGAGAGGATCTAACTTCTTCTGACTGGAGAGAACAAAAATAATCTTCCCTCATCAGAAATGGAGAATGTGATCTTCCAGATGTGGTTGTAAACTGCAGCTCCCATAATCTCTCACCTTTGGCTAGGGCTTATGGGAACTGAAACCCCAGAAACATCTTGATGATCACTCCTACTGGCACTCTTGTCCAGCTGCTTTTGCATTAGTTTACACCTGGCATCCCAACAGGTGGCTTTGGGATTCTACACTGTACACAGGATCAATAGATCTGCACAAGGTGATCCAGGGCCCTGGGAGTTTGGCCTATATAAAAAACAACAACATTGGTCCCTTTTTGCCTTCATTTACTGCCAAGGTGGAAAAAAAAATAGCAGAGTGCCATGTCCATCTATGCAAGTTGTGGTGGAGAAATGTTTTACATGTCAGTGATGGGACAAATGCACAACCATATCCCAGTTATGTGGAGCTTCACAGGGAGCTGCTTGGAGGTTTTATTTTTTATTTTTTCTGTACTCACTGTAACTATATGGATTCAGACCATTGGTCTATCAAGCTTCTTATCACCTCCAGTGACAGGAAGTGGACCTCTAGAGTTCTGGACAGGAGACCTTTCCAGTACTTTTTGAAGATGCTTTCGATTGAATCTGGGGCCTTATGTGTGACAAGTATGGGCTCAGCCATTAACCTGTGAACCTGTGTGGCTGTGAGTGCAGTGTTGATGACTACAACATGGTCAGATTCAGCACCAGAGCTAAGTTCTCCTAGTGCACAGGCATCATGTCGGGTTTAAGAGGTGTCAAATGTGCCACATCAATCCTTTTGTTTCCTCCCTGAATCACCCTGTGGGGGCTTCTATGATAAACAAAACAAAGTGCAGACCCTTGCTTTTATGTACTACAGATACCAGGACGTGCTCCTTACCATGAAGTCGATATTACTGTCTTCGTTGCGGAAATACTCCATTAATTTCTCAAAGCGGTGTCGCTCTTTGCAAACCTGAGAACCAGAGACCATGCCGGGTTTTTAAAGAGTGCTTCAGTATTGGCATGCCAGTCAATTACTAACTCTTCCTGGCATGCTGTCTTTACAGATATCTCCCTAAGCGTTCCTTTGCATATCTATGTTTCTGCTCTATCTCTATTTATGCTTAACTCACCCATCACCAATAGCTCTGGCCCTCCCTCCCTGCTCCCTCTCTTTTCTGAGTTGTGTACCTGCAGCCCACTTCTTCCTCTTTATTCCATCCTTTGTCAAGGAACATGTCAGAGTGGCTAGTGTCAGTAAAAAAAAGCATTGCTGATGTGCATGATAATTTGATGTAACAGATTAACAGCTCTTTTTGAAAAAGAACACAAAAGGAATTGTGTGTGTCAAGATGCCATTTAGAAGGGGAGAACAGGATTGACTTTGGCAGGGATCTATAGGGTGGTAACAAGAAAGATATTAAGCTCGTAGATCAAGGGAGAAAGTTCTGCCATTTAAGGCATCACAGAGAAGATCCCTAGTGTGGTAGCCACTCATCTAGCTTCAGAAGCTGGATAGTCTCCTACAAGGCACAGTGAGGGAATCAAACTCCCAGCCCTGTGCCATACAGCAACCATCCACTACTTACCCACTAACCATCCACACAGATGACCTATCTAATTAGTCTTTCCGATGTTCTTTCATGCAATTACACTGACCTCTTTCCTCCACACTTTATATATTGCATATCCCACGAAAGACAGGATGACGTGACATGACAGGCCTCACCTCCTTGAAGTTCTCAAAGGCAGCCAAAATGATTTCATGGCCACCACGCACCAAACAGACAGCCGCCAGCAGTTCCAGCACCAGGGCCTTTGTCCTAAGGGGCAGATGAGAGAGAGAGAGAGAAGTTGCAAGACAGTTATTTTCGTCCACAATGATAGGGCTGTTCAAAAATGTAGAACTAAGTTGAACTAAGTCGTTACCTGTCGTTGAATATAACTTTTCAATGCCCAATGCACAGATACTTTATCTCTATTTGCAGTGTTCTTCTATCTTTTTAGTTATTTGTAAAGCTATATCAGTGACCTCCACCAGTGATGAGGCAGGAAAATCGCCATGGTTCAAGGGCTGCCTCATGCTCTGTTGTTGGCATTGAGGTGGCAGAGAGATGAATGAGAGGTCAAGGTTTTGGACTGCAATCTAGCAGCTTGTAGCATTCAGGTATTTTCTTTAGTTTCAAGGAGCTAAAACCCTTTTCCTTGTTGTTAATTATAAGAACAAGGAAAGTAAAACATTAATTGCAAAGAAAATATCTTCATAATGATTACTAACTACTTTTTTTAACCCTTCAAACTGTGACTGCAACGAATTACTTTTTAAAAGGTTACTTCCCACGCTGTGGGAAAATGTAAGAAGCTGTCTGTCAGGCGAAGCTGCTAGGGGAACACATCATGAAAGGCAGATATAAGGTTGTACTTGAATCTACCTCCAACACAAAATTTCACTTTTCTCTCTCCCAGGGAATGAGCTTCTCAGCTCAGTGGCCCTCTGTGACACATGAGCCTCGGCCCAAATGTCCCGCTCCCAATGCAGTGTAACACTTCCTGTGTCCAACTGAAGCCAGACATTTGAGGAGCATTCAGTGCTAGGCAAAGAGGGCTATTCCTTAGAGAACCAGGGTAGAGCGACTTCCCAGTCTATGTGGGCTGGACTATGCAACACACTAATAAGAAGCATACAGCAGAGCCTCGCTTCCTGGTGTCCCTCCCCGCCCACTCCTAAATAACTATCTGAAAGGCTGAATCCCAACTGTGACTGCTGTACAGAAGTAAGGAAAATCTGAAATGGAGTGGAGGTTTCATTCTTGCCTACTAGTGTATAGTATTTCTGATCCATGTCAGGCAGGCCCCCTTGCATTTACTTGGAAGCAAGGCTGTGCACAGATCCCCCAGTCTGCTCTGGAGGCCAGTTCTGAGCACCCAAATAGATCTCAGTTGGTCTGGAACTATCTGTGCCTTGGATCTCAATCAGCTGGGAAGCCTCCGTTGACTTGCACTGGAAAACCAAGACGGCAATAGATTTTTTTTTGTTCTTGCACATGTTCTTGTATATGGAATATGAATGTATAAAAGATTCTAAAAAAGAGGGTGAACCTGCCAAATGTCAGACCATTGGCTTCAAGGGCTTGTGTACAAGGCACCTTTACACTCTGCTTTTAAAAAAATGAAAGAAGGCAAAACTCTAAACTGATACAGTATGTGATCCATCCTGCTTGATTTATGCTCTAGACATAAGTCACACCAATTTGTAAACTCTCATAGCTTTGGCATGGAATTCACTTGGATCTCAACTGCACAGTAAATTATCTGAATCAGACCAAGAGTGATTTGGAACTTGTGATTTGGAACTTGTTCAAATCCAGTGTGGAGCCCTACTTGGAGTAAAACAGAAAGCAACGTTCAGTGGCAAGTTATGTATTTAGCATAGCAGGTACTTTACTCCACTGTCATGCCCTGATTACTTGAATAGTGGCAGTCAATTGAGAAGAGGAAGTGAATCTTTCTAGTCATTCTTCCTATGGCTTGGTTACTTTACACCACCCATTTGAGTCTGTGTCAGTCTCATACACATTCAAGTCATAAATCCAAATTCCAGCACTTGTCCACTATCTGCTACAAGTTCTGTAATGTCTGCAGGTTACAAACATTTATATGTATTTCCCCTAATATAAATATAGACATGTTATATTGTTTCCCTTATGTATGCATTTTTGTACACAACTTTCCCTACCCTAACAATACTTACATTTTTTGAATGCTATTTTCCCCTACATACACATTTTTATACGACTTGTGAGATTAAGGCCCTGGTCACATGAGGGAAATGTTCTGCAGTTCTTCCAATACTTTCCATACCTCTGTTGTATTGAATTGCAAACACATTATATATATATAATGTGATTGCAATCCAATACAACAGAGGTATGGAAAGTATTGGAAGAACTATATATACCGGTATGAATGTCCCAAGCACTTCTAGCAGCAGCGGTCCATTTCTTCCTATTTGAATCAATATGATCAGCTACACAGTATTGCCAGTTTATTTTATCTCTGTCCTCAATGGTCCATTTATGCCCACAGGTTTTTTTAAAAAAAAATTCATTTCATCTATATAGCAATATAGGTATAAGGGGTTTTCTGTTTTAAGAAGTGTCTTACATTGCACTGGTTAATCCTGTAAAAATGCATTGCCCATAATGGACACTGGACTACCATATGTCACTGGACATCCACTGGACACTGGAACATGGAAGTCAAGCCACGCAGGTATCATCTATATAAAAACTTAGGCATACGTTCACCCAATTATCAATTTACAGGGCTATGAATACAAAAAAGGGCACACTGTCAGCAGCAAGGGGGGTCAACTCCACCCACACATATGAACACGCAGGCAGTTAGGAAGGGACGACTGCAAAATATGTTTTCTTTCTGCATGGCCAATAATGATGACCACCCTCGGCTCAATGTATCATTAATACAGATTTTTTTTAAAAAAATCCCAGCTGTAATGTACTTTTAACAATATATCGATGTACCAGACTGGATGGGGAGAAAATATGCAAGCCTCAGAAATGGTGGCGACTTTACAGTGTTCACCTCAGAAAAGAAGCAGGGCTGGTGGAGCACGCAAGCAAACCGGGTAAGGAATTGTACCGGTGTACAACAGAAGTACAAAATAACACAAGCCTCTCAGGGGATGGAAAACAAACTGCAGTTACACTATAGGCAGGGAAAAGGTCTCAATCTTGACTGTGCACCACGAGACCAGAAAAAACAATGATATAACTGGTTGATATCTAGGGAAAATTTCCCTGATGTGACCAGGGCTTTAGAAGTGAACTGCAAAATTCAAGTGAACAAATAAAGGAGCCTAGTGGTGCGATGGTTCAACTGGAGTACTGTAGTGAAGACTCTGCTCTTGACCTTAGTTTAATCCCAATGGGCTGAAGGTTGGTTGATTGAAACTTCCATCCTTCTGAAGTCTGTAAACTGAGTACCCAGCTTGCTGGTTGTGGGGGCAATGTGTGTCCTGAATAATAATTGTAAACCCCCCCAAGACACCTTTAAGCACTTTGGAATGGTATATAAACAGCACATCATGGTGAACATTTGTCTTTTTGGGGGGATATTATTTCCAGAATTCCCACCAACATAGCCAAGAAAGGATCTGAGTGCATAGCAAGTCAGGAACGAAGTACCTAGAGACATTTTTTGGTGCTAGAATGAATCATTAGCCCAGTGTTATATAAGATATACATCCATATGCAGAATTAAAGTACCACCTATACTGTGCCACAGGTCTGCTTTCCATTAGACCTGGTCCTCTGTGCAATTAGTTTATATAATCTGGGCAAGAACCAGGTTTCCATCCTGCATCTGCAGACCAGGACATAGGCCTGCCTTCATGCCACATGGAAGACCCATGATGACTAAACAGACCTTACATGTACAGAGACACCACATCTCTGATACCAGAGACTGAAAAGGAACAGCCCAGGGAGGACACGGTTTTCTGGCTCTGCCTATGAGTATTTCTCAGATGCCCCTGGCTAGCTCGCTGCTGCTGCGGAGTATGGAAGGCAAGGTCAAATGGGCCCCCTTGCCTGGTCTCACAAGGCAGCCTTCCCATTGCTAACGTGAGACCAGGTTTTCAAACACAAGATTTGTATTGTGATCACAGGGCAGTATTAGGGTCCAAAGACAGCTGTGCAAAAATGAGGACCCATTTCCTGGGCTATTAAAAAGAAAATTACATTTTTGGCTAACTTTAGAAACAATATTTTGCAGAACAAAGCAAAAGACCCCAGGGACACCCATCTGCTTGTTCTGTTTACTTTCTCTCTCTCTTTTGTTCCCTCTCCTCACATATATATACACAGTCACCTTCAATGTGCCAGCATCAGCGCCCAATGGCAGGATAGGTGAAAAGCCAGCACATGACGTACAACATTTAACTTTGCAATGAAAGGTTTGGAAGTAACCAAGGATCAGTGCATTTTATATCATCCACACAGCCCAGGCAATAGGTCCTCACGCAGTGACTCCATCTAGGCCAAACAATATGAGGAAACAAGAGGAAGTGGTCCAAAGGCACATCTGTTCTACAAATTAAAACCAGCTTGAAATCAGCTTCACCAGTTGGAGACGAGCCATAATTTTGCTTTGTTTTTCAGAGTTGAAAGAAGTTGGGAAGAGGGATTGCTGTGAATGAAGTGTGAAATCATCCCACTTTCACTTCTGCTAAACAGGTGTAAAGTGTTCTTCAAATGTTTCAAAAACCTGTCAAACCTGTTCAACCAGAGGCTGTGGTGAGAGAAAAGGAATGTGCCTGTACACCAGGGGATGTGACGCTTCCCCCAAATAGTTTCAAAAATAAAAAGCAAAACAGGACTGCTGTTTTCCTGCACATGCCTCTTTTATAATCAGACAGGCATTTTTGAAGACTGTAGTTCTAGAAAGCTGTTGAGAATCTTTTTAGAAGAAATTTCTAGGCATGTCACAAAACTAAAATTCCCATGGTTTTTTTCAATACCAGAAGCAGAATAATAGTCTTAAGAGTCTTAACACTTGTTCAGATTTTGCTCAACCTATATCAGTAGTATCTCAACCACCATGCAGAAGAAGCTCCATCCATCCATTGGTCGTATTCTTGGTGCTCCTCTCTTGCCAGAAGTTGGAAATCATCATGGCTTTTCAGACTAAACAACATGGCTTTGCTGCTTCCAACTCAGCCTCCAAGGCTCATCAGCCAAAAATTTATTTTCCTCTCTGCCTTCCATCCCCCTTTTATCCACCTAAAGAGATCACGAAAGCCACATTTCCATGGGAGCAAATCTGACTTACCTGGGGTTCTTATTGTTCAAGCTCAGGGCAATCTCATTGACAGCATGAGGATGTGACATCACCAGATTGAATCCATACTGAAACGGAGAAGAAGAAAATCCACAACAAGGGTGAAAGTGAAAAAGAAGCCACGAAACCTCTCATCCCACTGATTTAGCAGCTCAGGGAAGGGTCATTGATAACAATTGCGCAGCACACCGAGGAAGCTGGCATTTTGTTTAAATGAAACCAGTTATTAAGCAAATCTCACAAACAACTCAGGATATTTATGCATAAACAAAAGAAAGGCTACGTAAACTGTAATACAAAAGTACAGTGGAAATTAGGATCACGGGAGCAAGCAAGAACTATCATTACAAACACGGCAGAGACACATGAGTCTAAATAACAAACCATATTGTTGGTATTGCTGCAGGAGATTGAAAGAGCTACTTCCCAGGAAAACACTTTTAAATTCTATGCAATAATGTCTTATCATCTATAATTAAGCATGGTGACTATATTGAAAAAGTACAGTGGAAATTAGGATCACGGGAGCAAGCAAGAACTATCATTACAAACACGGCAGAGACACATGAGTCTAAATAACAAACCATATTGTTGGTATTGCTGCAGGAGATTGAAAGAGCTACTTCCCAGGAAAACACTTTTAAATTCTATGCAATAATGTCTTATCATCTATAATTAAGCATGGTGACTATATTGATGAAAACGTACCCATTTTGCCTTCTCTTCCTCCCCTTTTCTACCACCACACAAAGGGAGGAAAGAACATCCCCACCACTGGCTTTGCTGGACAAAACTGGTGGGAGTCGCACACAAACAACATCCGGAGGGCCACGAGATGCTCACCCTGCCTGCCTTCTGAGTTCCTGGCAGAGCTGCGGAAGAGCTGTGTGACCTTCAGCTAGGCCAAGCTTTCTCCAACAATATGCACACCCACAGCGGAAGATTTTTGCCCACTGAATGCCTGCCTGCCACACTGCTGTTAAGAGGCAGGACCTCTGCCAGAAAGAAAGGTGACAGCACAAAACAGCCCCCTATTCTAGGCGCACAAATACAAATTGCAGACCTCAGGAAGTTCATTCAAGGGCCAGTTTTCACCATAGCTCTACAGCACTGGTTCTTAACCTTTGTTACACAGATGTTTCTGGACTGCAACTCCCAGAAGCCTTCACCATCAGCTCTGCTGCCTGAGGTTTCTGGGAGTTGCAGTTCAAAAACACCTGAGTAACAAAGGTTAAGAACCAATGCTATGAATCACTGAGTCCAGCTCCTGTCCAGGAGGCGCAGTGTGTGTATGTGTGTGGGGGGGAGAAATCAAACTCCCAACCTCTGGCTCCTGCAGCCAGAGACCTAACCCACTGAGCTATCCAGCTTTGAAAATAGAAGTTTTAAAAAGGAATAGCAAGGTCTGCTAAAGGCTCTTAGGCTGGATTTAAGTGACACGTGGTTATCGCTACTCTGTTCAAGTCCTTATTGCTTGGCTCACAAATAGTCACACTGCAGAAAATTGCACTGGTTCTGAGTGGGTGGCTTATGATACTCACAGGCTTCCAAAGTACTACAGAGTCAGACCCAGGCCGTTGGCCTACCAAGCTGGAAGACATATTAGACTGTGCCTGGAATCTAGTCACTTAGGGTAGTTAGTCATATTTACAGCAGCATCAATGGCACTTACAGAAGAATTGACTCACCTAATCCCCACTGATTCAATGGGCCGTTACTAGTGTTACTTACCACACTAAGCAACAGGATTTCAACCAGTGGCTGCTGGCAGTACTTTTAGATTTTACTTTGTCATTGTTTCAGATTATGCAACAGAGTCCAGGTGAAATATCACTCATCCCACCCCGCCACACCATCTACAATCAATGACACGTGGAGTAGGAAGCATCTCTAGAGTCTTTTAAGGTGAGATTGACATTTGGGGGTTATGGGAAAGCAAAACTCACTCATGCTGCTGCTGGAGCTGCCACTATCCTCCCCACAAGCAATGCTAGGCCATCACATACCATAGCCTTCAGGCTGGGGGACGGGAGAGCACAACCCCAAGATCTCTTGTCCCCAAACACTATCCAAAATTGCCAGGCGCCCGGTCTTCCCTTCCACTGATTCTCCCTTGGCCCCCAAAAATGAAACCCAAAGTACAGAAACCTCTTCATTCAATGTTGTTCTACAAAAGTGTGCTTGCATGCTCTCCCTCTCCCTCCCTCTTTACCCCACATACCCCTGTCCATCTTGGCTTTAAATTATTCCATCAAAAAAGGGCAGGCTGTTAAGAGACTTCTGACTTAAGGAACCTTAATAGGGTTTTTGAGGCTTGTGAGGTGTTCAAGGAGTGGCTTACCATTGCTGCTACTACCCCCAAGTAAGTTTCCATAGCCGAAGGTGGATTTGAACCCAGGATTCTTGAGTCCTCGTCCAACATTCTGTTCCCTATCCTGCAGCAGCTCTTTGGGTCAGGCTACCAACCTAACTAAGCAATGGAGCTTGAAAAAGTCCCACTTGTAGCCAAGCTTGCTGAGATTTCTGGCCGCTGTCGTCCAGAAAAGGAACCTCTCCATGGTCCATTAGGACAGAATGAGTTTTCTCACTCTTGAAATGTTTGCTTTTGAGCGGAGTTTAGAAATGTTCCTTTCTTGGACATCCAGATTCTGAGAGCTGCAATTTTTAGAAGCACATTTTCCAAGTTCTGGTTTTGACCTACAGCCACCTGGCGCACCCCACAGATTAGGCAGAGGCAGTTCATTCATCAGTGTGTATATGCCTGACCTGGTAGTTCATGATGGCCCGCAAGCACAGGATGCACACGTGGACATCATCCTTCTGGCTCACCAGCCGCGAATTTTTCAGGGCTTTTCTGCTGGGAAGGGTGGTGTATCTAGCCGAAAAAGAGAGAGAGAGAGACCGACATTCAGCAAGAGGCAGCCAAAGCGTCAAAAGAATGTTGTCCCTTGCCAACGATGAGGTCACAGCCACAGCTAAGAGCAGGAAAGGAGGGCTGTAATTCAAACCACCAACTTCTGTCAGAAGATTTGCTTCAGATGTGAGCTGCTCCTTGGCAAAATGCTGACAAATGCTTACTCTTCGTCATTTGGGTCCCAAGGGTACTGCCAGGCAGAGAATTCTTACTACAACCCATGAAAATACTGGTGTGAAATTTCCTCCTTTATGAACATTTTTGTTTGTTTGTTTTCATTTTTTTTTGGTAAGCAAAAAGATGGAGGCAGTGAAGGGAAAGCGCAAGAAGGTTACAAATGGACTGATGTCTTCTGAATTTCCCATAAAATCCAGAGAAAAAGAGAGGGCAGTTGCAGATTCAAAACCTCATTTGGAAGCATCCTTAACTTCATGCAGGGCACTCGGAGCATTTTTTTAAAAAAAATTCCAGGAGCTACAGTTCTTGTCTGGATTTTAGCTGACCAATGATATATACATACACACCAGACATGCTGCTCCAACCTGAAGACAAAGCAATTTCAGTTTTAATCCTCGGACATTAGAGAAAACAAAAGCAAAACTTTTTTTAATTTTTATTTTTTGGAGGAAAAGAGATCTTGATAAGTGGAAACTCATCCAAACTATGGCATTATTTCAAATGAGGAACAAAATGTTTGTTATAAAATTTTTTTTGAACATTTCTGAGGTTTGTGAGAGAACCCAAAAGATGAAAGGCTAAGAGATCAACTCCCAGAGAGAATGCACAAAAATATCAATGGTCCAGTTGACTTCACAGGTCTATTTCACTGTCAATCAAAATAAAATTATTAACTACCCTTTGAGCCAGTTTTACTCGACCCAGCAAAATCCAAGGTGTGTTAGACCACATACTACATCACCCCTAGTCATGACCATGATGGCTGGGGATAATGGAAGTGAGAATCCAATACATGGGATCAGGGAAAGCTATTTTTGGTAAAAGGAGTACAGACTCATAGAGATCACACCTTTTTAAAATAATGTTGCTGCATACTTGACCATCAACTACCCTCCAGTGCCACTACCTCAGAGATAGGACACATTATTTGATGGGGGCTACTACAAAGAATATTCCACCCAGCATAGCCATTTCCCCCACCTTTGAGCTACCGTCATCTAACATGGAGATTCAGTGTGTGCTAACAATTCTTGACCTCATGTGTTTCCAATGTAACTGAGTAGTCATGGAAAGGAAAGAAGGAAATCCACACTGACAAGGGGTACAATTTAACCATCCTTTTTATTGCCTAGAGCCCCACTTTCTCTTATTTTAACTGCAGACAATTATTCCTCAAATAATAGAAAACTGCATGAAAGTAGCATGGTTTTAGCAAACTGATTTTCCTGTTTCTGGTCATTCAAAGGTTGCAGGTTTTTAGGAAAGCCTGCTAAACCTTTCTGAGAAGAAACAATAACAGGATGAATGTATATACCATGAGTAGTAATTCCTCTTTCAAACCTCCCTTGTCTACAGAGGAATGTAGCTATCTCAAAGCAGGAAGGAATAAATTACTAGTTCCCCAGACTCACCAAGTAAGCTGCACAAGCTGGGATGAACGTTGATCCTTCCAACAGCTCTGTCAGCATGGATGGCTTGTGGTCAAAGCAAGCAGGGGCAAAGCCTCCCAGACCATTTCAGAGTCTTAAAGACCTTGAACTTCAAACTGTCAGGTCTCACGTTACTAGAACCCAGGTATCCAGCAGTGGGACCCATGCTCCTTTCACCTCTGAACCACTGCTGGTCTTCTTGTTGCTGCACCACAACCCCACAAAGTGTAGTGCTAGAGCTACCCAATGAGCAGAGAGTCAGGTGATACAAGGAGCCAATGGAGTGCTGTTTGATTCCCATTAAAGGTGCTCACTCTGGCTGTCTCTTCAGTCCAAGCAGTTGGTCATTCAAGCACCAGCTGAACTGTTCTTGGGCCAGCCATCCCTATTTGCTCCCCAGGACTTGGAAACATCTTTTTTTTTCAACAACAACACAGAGCTACCCAATGAGCAGAGAGTCAGGTGATACAAGGAGCCAATGGAGTGCTGTTTGATTCCCATTAAAGGTGCTCACTCTGGCTGTCTCTTCAGTCCAAGCAGTTGGTCATTCAAGCACCAGCTGAACTGTTCTTGGGCCAGCCATCCCTATTTGCTCCCCAGGACTTGGAAACATCTTTTTTTTTCAACAACAACCCCTAGGGACCCCCCCCCCCCCAAATTTGGGATAGCTTGCAGCCATGCTAGTTGCAGGATTCCAGAGATATAGCCCAAAAAGATGACTCACTGAATTCTGATGACCACCTCCAGGACACCAGCTAGGGCTGTAGCTCAGGTGCAGCAACTGGGGCTCTGCCTCAGGGCACCAAAATTGAGAGCACACTGAAATCTAGAGATGAATCCACTGGGGACTGCTTTTTTAAAAGGATAAATGTTCTCTTTCTTTTGGGAGGACACCACATTCCACTCTTCCTTTTTTTTTCTGGGCGATCAAGCTCCAGGTTCAGCCCTTGCTTCATGGGTAGGAGACGGCGTAGTTTGTCTTGGGTGCGAAAAATTGCTAGTTAGGGCTCTGCTACTAGTCATAAGGCAGGCACAATGTCCCTTCTCTGTACTCCCATACCCACATCTTGCCAGGCCCACAGGCCACAACTCCAGGCCGGCAGTCCACAGGTGTGGCCGCACAGTGCCCTGTGGAGAGATACTTACCTAGCTGACAAGGACAGAGAAAGAGAGGGAAGAGGAGGCGCAGCAAAGACAGGCACAGAGCACGGGGAAAGACAAGGCCCCTACAGCAGAGAGGAGCCGCGGCCAGCAGCCGCCAGAGAAGCATCAATGGAAGTAGATGAGAGTGGGAAGAAGAGATCAGCCCACGGCATCCCCTGGAGGGCAGAAAGCAGGAAAGGTGGTGGGAGAGGATTATTATTACAATGAAAGGCACAGCTAAAAAAGGGTTGATGCCAGAGCACTGGCGAGGCAGAGGTACATACCGGAGAGCAGACTGACGCGCAGAGCGAGCAAGGCTGTTGGCGTAGGGAGCAGACAGGGTGCTGGGGTGCTGCAGATCCTCTATGGACCTGCTCCAAGATTTCAACTTCTCTAGCGCTCCATCCTCGCCACTTTCCAGACCCTCAAAATCAAACCTAAAGGGCAGACACACCACACACACAGAAAGAGAAGCTTTAGAGCAGAAAGCTGCACAGAGGGGATCCGGCTCCAATTCATGGGGCTGATGGCGGGAACAAGGGGGGGCAGGGGGAGCTCCGGCAAGCTGAAAGCCAGCAGCAGGGCACACACGACAAAAGGCTCGCTCGGCAATTCCATTTCAACCTTCCCCATGTAAGCAGGGTCTGGGTATAAGGCAATTCAGGGACAAAGTAGCACCGTGCATCTCTGGGGTTAGAACGAACCGCCAGTAGTGTTGGCATCATGCCACAGGCTAGCTCTTCATTAGACATGATTCTGTGTATCAGCCACCTGTGCCATTTGGTGCGCAGCTAGAGTGTCTTTCTACGCATGGCACATCTGCATTAAGCTATATCCACAGACCAGATGATATATCCTCAAATATATCCTGGAAGCCATATGATGCCACATACTTTGAAACTGCAGTTTGTGAGAAGTGCCTGAATGGGGCTGCGGCCAAAGTGCTCGCAAGTCGTTCTGAGGCTGCAAGTGCCTGAATGGGGCTGCGGCCAAAGTGGAGCGCTCGCAAGTCGTTCTGAGGCTGATGTTTGCATCTGTGGACAGTTTTGAAGCAATGCCCAGTCTATTTAAAAGTCCATTTTAAAGTGTTGATCTCATCTTTCAATCTCTAATCAACTCAGAACCCAAGTACTATAAGGTCTGCCTCATCTCACATGGGTCTACGCCAGGCTGTTGGGATCTTCTTTGGAGGCTCTTCACAGAGCCAAAGAAGAGCCAAAAGGGAAACACACCAAGTGCCAGTAAACAAGCAGAGTGAAACAGTTCCCAGAAGTTCCAAAACTAATCAAGACTCAGAATGTTATGAAAATGCAAATTCTGTCTTCAGGAGCAACTGGCCCTCTGCAAGGGTGGATTTGGCTCCCGATTACTGAATCGGAAAGAAGAGCGAATGCATTCACTCTGGCATGTGGTCAATTGCCCTGTAGGAAGGAACTTTTATTTCTACAATATGTTGCACTTAGGATTCCCCCACATTCAACAATATGTCCTGCAGAAACATGGCAAACAGCATTTTTAATAGTGATGCCCTGAAGTCACTGTCACTGTAAATGTCTGTAAAATTCTACTCAGAAGTAACTCCTCCTGAGTTCTGTGGGACATAATCTGCTCCTGATCCATCAGAATCAACCAATGTAGAATAGTCAAAACTGAGACATGAGACTGATATACATGGACTGTCTTCCAGAATTAACAGTTGCATCAGTAGAAGAAAATTAGTGGTTCCACCAGTGACAGGGGCAGAAAAATTCTTTAGGGACAGCTAATGGTCAGCAGCAGTAATGGAAGGCGGAGCTGCCATAAGCTCTTTCACAGACAACAGTGGGAATAATCAAGTTCTCTCTTGTTGGTACTGTTCAGAACAAAGCAAAGTGAGTTGTAGTTGTTAGTACTGGTCAGAACAAAGTATTAATAAACTACAAAAACCCTATGATAAAACAATCCAAAATGAAACAAGTGATAGTGCTGGAAGATGAGATTCTTTGGAAAAGGATAAATGTGAGTAATCCTGTTGCTAACGAAGCAACTGGACTAAAGCTAAAAGAATGTCTACTTGCTGATATGCACAGTGGCAAATGGAAAGTCAAATGCTGTATGACACAAGTAACTGCAACAAGAAATGTCAAAAGTATGAATCAAAGTACACTTAAAATAAGAAATGGAATATTTAAATGTTCTAACACCTGCAGTGAGTAAACTAAAGTGGACTAAAATAACATTTTCAGTCAGATAATTACAATGCATTTTACTCTGAAAACAGCAAACTTATGAGAAACAATGTGACCATAATAGTGAGGTGAAATGTAGCACAAACACTTAGGGTTGATAATAAAAGGTTTGATAGAATAGTATCAAGCAAGCTTCATGGAAAGTGTATCAATCCATATACCACCCAAGTCTTAGTCCAATTCCAGATGCTGCAGAAGAAGAAACTGAAAGGATTTATGGAAGTATCTGAGTGGAAACTCATCACACAACAAAGCAAAATGAGCTGATAATAATGGGTGACTAGAATGCAAAAACAGGAAATAAAACAGAAACAAATGTTCGTAAATTTGTCCTAGGAATAAAAAATGAAGCAGATGAGTGACACTTAGAATTTTGCAAATTCCCTCAGCACCACCTTCTGAGTTCTCTCCTCAAGGAGAAAAGCAAGGTACTGTATAAATATTTTAAATAAATGAGTAAATAAATACATTTGATTGTCCTGATGCATAATTTGTACTCCAGACAAGAAGTGACCATTTAAAATAGAATGGTTTCCCACTGGCACATGGTTTGAAACAGCTACAGATGACAGTGAAAGAGCATGAAAAAGCAGGATTACAGATGAACATTAAGAAGACAGAAATAACAACTGCAGTATCTATCAATCAAAACAAAAACTGCAGCCAAGAAATCAGATGATGACTGAGAAGACATAGAAAGGAAGCTATGTAGGAACTAGAAAAGATCCTTAAGTGTAAGGATATGTCACTGGAAATGAAAGCTGAAGTCATTAGTGCTAATTATAATATAAAAGCCAGAAATGAAAAAAAGCTGACAGGAAAAAAATAGATTAATTCAAGATGTGATGTTGAAGGAGAGCTTTATAGACACTGTGGGTCTCCTGCAAGAGAAGTAAGTGGATTCTAGATCACATCAGACATAAACTCTCACAAAAATCACAATGGCTAAACTGAGGCTATGATATCTTTGACAGATCTTGAAAAGACCAGATTCTCCAGACAGGAGAGTAATGCTGGAAAATGTGGAAGAAAATAGGAGACAAGGAAGACCCAACATGAGATGGATTTACTCAATAAAGGCAGCCAGAGCCTTGAATGTGTAACAGTTGAGTAGGACCGTTCTTGACCACACCTTCTGGAAGTCATTAATTCTAAGGGGCACCATAAGTTGGAAGGGACTTGATGGCACATACGATTGAGACTACAATTGTGTCGGCCATCAAGTCACTTCCAACTTACGGTGCCAAACTTAATTTCTTTCTTCCAAGCTCTATCGGTGCCAAACTTAATTTCTTTCAGAACTAGGCAAAGAACCTTTAATTCATCCATGTCATTTGTTTCTTATAGTCGTTTTGCTGTTGTGCGTGCAATTTTATTATAGTTTAGGTTGCAGTCTCACTTTATTCTATCTATGTTTGTCTATTTTGTTATGAGCCACTCCAAAAGGCTTGCTTTCTAACAGAAGATTCTAAACTACAAATAAAATAAAATGTAAAAAAAAACCCCTGCATAGACAGGATAGGGTTCACCAGGCTAAGGAAGCAGCCTCTAGGAAGTTCAACATTTCCACTAAGAACTTGTGCCATGGCAAAGAAAACAAAAATACAAAACAAAAAACATGCCATAAACTATGGACCACCTTACTCCCCACTGGTAGAAAAGATATGTAGCATCCATTATGAGCCATCCTCATTTGTTGGGACCCTGGGATTTAACTAGTACATACGTAAGATGTCAAGAGCTATATCACACAGTCTCTGACCAACAGATGCAAGAAATGAGCAAAGAACAAAGGCAGTTGACTCACTGGTGTGTTTCAAGGTTCATTAAGGACTTTTTCACTCCAAAGAAATTGCTAAAAATAGACACAGGCTCTTTTTGTTATCTTTGGTTATCTTTTTCTGTCAGGTTCCTTCTATTGGAGCTGTCTGCCCAGAAGCTAGTCCCGTTGAGTTCCATGAGACTTCTTCCAGTTAAGTGGGAAATTCACATTCAAAATTGGCTTGTTTACCTAAATCAACATAGCAGCTGATTAATCAAGAAGGAAGAAAAACACACCGGTGAGGGCATGCTTTCAGAAGGATAGTTTTGGACCTGGTTTGCTACTGCAATAAGGGACCAAGAAAGGAGGAAATATCAATGATATCTCTTTCTGTTCCTAGAGGAAGAGACTGAGGTGGTGCAAGGAACATCGATTCATAACCTTTTCAAGCTGAAAATGGACAAGGGTTAACAATATACACAGCTGCTGTTTGTTTTAAAGAGTTTTTGTTTCAATGCTTTAATTTGTAATATGCATGCAATAGCTTTTTAAATACTCTAGTTTATTGTATTCTTAGCTGCATTTGTCTTTCATATATTCTGTACGCTTTCTTGAGTTGCTTTATTAGAAGAAAAGTGGGATAAAATAAAATGAATGAACAAACAAATGCTGTTGGGGGGCAGTTAAAAGTGTCTGAATTGGCTATGCCTTGATATAAATGCTGGGAGGATTTTGGCCTTCTGTAGTTGCCTGGAGAAAGCAGCATAGCTGTGGTTTTTTTCCTTCTGCATTTCTGTATGGCTGGCCTTGGTTTCCAAATTTGGGTGTAGAGATTTGGGTGCAGCTCCTCACAACCCCGGCACTTAGAAGAAGAGGATATTCTTTCATATATCAAATTGTACATAATTTCATTTTGCCTTTAATATCCTGAGAAAAATGCCTAGTCTGAGGTTTTAATGATACGCACATAATATTTTTTTTATTTTCAGCAAAAGGAACCAAGAGTCCCATGAGGCTTGAAAGATTAACAAGTTTTATTTGGAATAAGCTTTCACGGATGGTAGTCCACTTTTCCAGACATCTGGAGATGTGAGCTACAGCTTGTGAAAGGTTAAGACAAATAAAATCTGATTGTCTTTGACACGGCACAGATCTGGTTGTTTTTGAAGCAAACTGGAAATTCATTTTAATATAATCAAAGAAGTGACAAAAAGTCAGATTGCTGACAAATGAAAAATCTCTGCATGGCCTACAGCTATAGTTTCAACTTTGCTTGTTAATCCAAGAGTGGGTAGAAAATAGATCTTTTTCGTATTGGTTAACCTGTTGTGGGCTTCTAGTCAAACATTTCCGACTCTTGTTTAAAAATAACAAAAATACATTCTCTTCTTCTAGTGGGGACTCTGAGTGAAAGAACATTGGGTAATTAGTTCTGGCATTAATGACAACTTCCTAGGCTCATTGTATGCTATGAGGCAGCTTGTTCTATAATGCCAAGTGTATCCCTTCCATACTTGGCTCTGATTGGTGGAGTCTGGGGGAACAGAGTGCATCCACCAGGCCTCTGTTGCCTCTCTGCCCCCAGAATCATCCACCAGTGCATCCAGGATTCTGAAAACTGATTTCCACCCCACCACTGCCCCAGACAATTAAGTTTATGACTATTATGAAAGTTTAAAAAGTCAAGGAGGAGGCCTGCTACTCCAGAGCATCAGAAACTAAAGAAGCTTCTACAAGGTAAAAGGTAAAGGTAAAGGTTCCCCTTGACAATTTTTGTCCAGTCATGTTCGACTCTAGGGGCCGGTGCTCATCCCCGTTTCCAAGCCATAGAGCCAGCGTTTTTGTCCGAAGACAATCTTCCGTGGTCACATGGCCAGTGCGACTTAGACACGGAACGCTGTTACCTTCCCACCGAGGTGGTCCCTATTTATCTACTTGCATTTGCATGCTTTCGAACTGCTAGGTTGGCGGGAGCTAGGACAAAGCGACGGGCGCTCACTCCGTCGCGTGGATTCGATCTTACGACTGCTTGGTCTTCTGACCCTGCAGCACAGGCTTCTGCGGTTTAGCCCGCAGCGCCACCACATCCCTTGATAGACTCCTCTACAAGGAGTAAGGGAAAATATTGAAAACAACATCTAGGTTCTTCTGCCTGCCCAAGAATCTGAGTAAGGTGAATAAAACTATGTACTGAGTCATCCCCCTTGATCAACCTGACACAGATTCACATTACAGTGACTTCCTACACCTGCCTTCACTTCTTTTTAACATTTACACAGCAACTACACACGTCTTAATTTCTGCACAAACCTGATGTGTTGTTGAAGGAGTAAGACTATCCAGAGCACCCTGAAGAAAACACAAGCACTTACATCACTGCACACTGAGCGAAGGAGAGATAATCCACCAGTACATCTAGGCCTTTGTTTTCATCATTGAGAAATTCACGCACCCACCTGAAAAAGAAAAAGTCAAAGCAGAACTTTATTATCCACAGCGGATACACAATCGTTTGTAGAAGTTTACACGTTGAAACAGACTTACAGCAACTCTAACAGGGCTTTCAAGATACGAGCGATATTAAGGTGTGGTTTTAGCAGTACCACTGATGATGGGAGTTTCCATAGCTAAATAGGGATTTGAACTTGGGTCTCCTGACTGAGTTGTAGTCTGTCACTCTATCCACTACACCATATTGGGTATAGCGTGCATCCTTGAGATTACATTTAAAAATGCTGTATTTTCACCTTGGTGAATCTTTGCATTTCCATGTAGGGTATACAGTATTTGACTACAACTTCCATCACCCCCCAACCAACTAGCTCTTTACTCCCAGCCTCAAAAGCCAATGGTTGTGCTGGCCAGGCTGATGGAGACTGGGGTCCAATAAATCTGAAAAATGGCACCAACTTATGGAATGGTGGTGTAGCTTTCTGAGACTTATTCCCATCTTTCAATTCTTTCTTCACCGTACACTAAAGCAGGTACGCCTAGCATGATGCACTGAATTACTTGAGGATTAAAATTTGGGATTACATGGAATCTTCCCCATTTTCAATATTTTCTTCAAAATTAGCACATTCAATACAGGCTAATACTCACCCTACCCGACATTCATACTGTTTTGACAGTGTTTGTTTACTCAGCAGCTGCTTTGCTACTCAGTGCTTCTTCCAGCTTCACCTTGTCCTCCTCCATTTTCCCTCCTCCTCTTCCTCCAATCTCTTTCACCTTTGCTGTCTTTGGCCTCATCCTCCAGCAGTGATGCTTAATCAGTCAGCGGTGGTGACTGATACAATTTTGTTTAAAGCAGAAGGCAGGACCCTGGTGTGGTGCAGTGGATAAAGTGATGGACTAGGACTCTGGAGAGTAGGGTTCAAATCCCCACTTGGCCATGGAAAACTCACTTGGGGTGCTGAAGTTTTAAAACCACACTTTAAATGTCTCACTCACCTTGAAAGCCCTATTAGGGTCACTAGACGTTGTTTCTCACTTGACAGCACAGAGCAACAACAAAGCAGAAGGCACAGAGTGACACAACTAACTTTTAAGTCATTGTACTGCTTCAGTGGAGTTTTTAAAAAAAGCTAATTCCTCCTTTTTTCCCCTATTCTGTTCCTGCTGTTGTGACTGTTATTGGTTTATAGTTTATAATCTTATTTATAAACAAAGTTATATTTTATCTTTGTGTTATTATCTTCTTAACACAACAAATTCTCTTTCATGACTAGCCTAGAAAATTTTAAAAAAAGGATTGTATCAAGATGAAAGAAGCAATGGTAAGAATCCAGGACCCTTGGTCAAAGAGGGCATTCTTCAAAGCACACTGACCTTGTCTCCAGGATGTTCGGAGTCTTCATCTAAATAGATGAAATTTACCCAGACATCCACAATGTCTTGCTGTTCTTTGAACCAACATTTACAGTAATAATCAAATGGAAACTTGGACTATATCCTTTCCGCTAGAGTTGCATAGTTAAAGAGACCCATAAAGATTAATTCCACGCAAACCCATGGAAAAAAAGCTACCCAACTATTTAAAACAATGTGGTTTTTATTTATTTATTTATTCAAAATATTTTTACCCAGCCTTTCTCCTTGAAAAGGACCCAAGGCAGCATCCAACAATGAAAGACAATATTTAAAGTTGAAAACAATGAGTATACAAGGGTGGTTCACATCATTAGAAGACAATATTTAAAACTACGAACAATGAATAAAGAGGCAACTTAGAACATTAACGGGCAATATTAAGGTGAAGATCAATAAATATACAAAAAAAGTCACTCCAAGAAATAAAAACCCAAATATGTACTAAAAATCCAGAGGGGGGTTGGGGAAAGAATGTATAACAATCTAAGGTTGTTCTGGGTTTTTTCAGGCTCTTTGGCCATGTTCTGAAGGTTGTTCTTCCTAACGTTTTGCCAGTCTCTGTGGCCGGCATCTATCTAAAAATCACACACAGGTAGCTGGTTTACTGAGGGAAAGCTTGCCCGAAGAGAAAGGTCTTTGCCTGCTTACAGAAAGACAGTAAAGATGGGGACAGTGTGGCCTCCCATCGGAGGGAGTTCCCAAGTCTAGGAGCAGCAACAGAGAAGGCTCTTACCTGTGTCCCCACCAAATCCATCTGTGACGGTGACAGGACCAAGATAAAGGCCTCTCCTGATGGGCTTAACACCCAACCCTACTCATAATGGGAGATAAAATCTTTAAGATAGCTTGGACCCAGGCCATTGAGGGCTTTATAGGTTAAAACCAGAACTTTAAGTTGTGCCCGGTAACTGATTGGCAGCCATGGAGCTGCTGACCACCTCACCAGGCTGTGGCAACTGAAACTCATCCATTAACACAGGGGAAGCAGGGGCACAGTTTCATCCATAGGGCCTGAAACAGCTGCAGCATCCAAGTCAGCCTGCAAAGTGTTGTGTAAATCTTTCACAGGGAGCTACAGTGTGGTCTGCATTATTTACCTGGGGACTAGCATATAGCAGGCTCCTGACCATTCGAAAAAGCTCTGCTGGATGATTCCATGCAATAGTGGCAGAGAAGAATGACTTCTTTGCTGCTCCCACAGCCATTGAATAAGCCTTCCAATGGGCTTTAGCTCTTTTTTGATCAGATTCACTCCGGGTTTTCCACCATCATCGCTCAGATCTATGAGCCTTAGCTCTTTTTTGATCAGATTCACTCTGGGATTTCACCATCATCGCTCAGATCTATGGCCCACTTGTTTCATCTCCATCAGCTCCCTGGTGAATCAGGAAGCCAGTTTGGCTCTACTTTGCCCACCTCCAAACAAAGACTAGTCCTGCTGCTGGACAAAAAATGTCTGGATTTGACACAGAGCAGCAACAAGCCAGATTTTGATCTTCGATATGTTGTGTAGTTGCTGGAAAGTAGCTGGAACTCTGTTGCAAACATTCCAAAACATGAACTATGTCACCATTTGATTGCATCCAGAACCAGGGGTCGTCATCTAGTCGTTTAGTCCTGTCCGACTCTTCATGACCCCATGGACCAGAGCACGCCAGGCCCTCCTCTATTTTCCACTGCCTCCCGTAGTTGTGTCAAATTCATCTTGGTTGAGATGAACCAGGGGACATCCACTCAAATCTCCAGGTTTAAAAGGAAGATACCTCAAAATGCCAGATGCAGGGGAGGGGTATCAGGAGACAGGTATCTAGTTGTCTCTTGTGTTCCCAAAGGCATCTGGTGGGGCCACTGTGAGATACAGGAAGCTGGACTAGATGGGTCCTTGGCCTGATCGAGCAGGGTTCTTCTTATGTTCTTATGTTAATGGAGAAACCCCACACTTAAGTGTAGTCAATTTATACCTGTATGTATTTAAAAGATTTCAAGCCTGTTTTTTGATAAAGATTATTAGGGCAGTGTACAAAGCCACAATCAAAACATCCGTTTCAGAACAGAAGAACATAATAGTAGACTTCCTATACAGTGGCTAAAATCCTGTTGCTTAGTGTAGTAAATCACACTAGAGTGGCCCATTGAATCAGCAAGGATTTGGCGAGTCAAATCCTCCATAGGTTCCATTGATTTAAACAGAGTAGGCCTATTTGAATCAATAGAACTTGATTCTGTGGAGAAGCTGATTCACCAAATTCCCACTGAATTAGAAAGCTTGCTCTAGGGCAATATACTATACTAAGCAACAGGATTTTGGCCATTGGCTTAAGTTTTGTTTGTATACGTTCTGCAGCATTCAGGCTGATGGTATTTTCGGGAAAATTAGAACCCTGTCAGAGCTGCAGGACAGGACAGCGAACTCTTAAATTTCGTTATGCAGTGGACCTTGCACAAGCAGGATTTCTGCCATTATGTATAGGAGTACTTGGGTGAATATAAACATCTTAGTCTGGTGGCAGAACGGAGAGCATTCCCTGAGGCACAAGCCATCAAGAAAAAGTCTTGTTCTCTAGTCACCAGGACATGTTTTCAGATTGTGTGTGTGTGTGTGTGTGTGTGTGTGTGAGAGAGAGAGAGAGAGAGAGAGAGAGTGACCTGTTAAATGCAACACCTTTACTCACTTACTGAGAGCTAAGTAAAAGCATTGTCATCCATACATGCTCTTAAACCCTCAGGATAGATTCTGCACTGCACGGTTGCTGAGGCTATTACCTAATTTATTTATTTTTATAAATTAAGCAGGGGGTTTCCAGAGGACAGCCTTACATGGTGAATTCAGATCTTGGGCAGTAATGATGATGATGATATTATGCGTACAAAGCCAATTATACCTCAGTTATACACTATGAAGCAAGCAGTGAGTGGCACAAAACCTCTCTGCACAGACCACAGGCTGTTAGTATATACGTACATGATATTTTACACGAGGGTAGGAGGCTGCTCTCTAGATACTCCCAAACCCTTTCAGAGATACCGCAAAACCAAAAGAGACTAGGAACCAGTGTCGCCGTTCAAGGTAGGCCTGGGCAGTAGGGATTATGATCTACTGGTCCATTCACAGGGAGTTCTGACTTCCCATTGTCTAAGAAGAGCAATAATTGAAAAGCTTCCCCACCGTAACAAAATCAAGTTGCTGAAAAAGAAGCAAGGGGTGTGTGGGACACAAGTGGCATTTTCTCTGTCAAAGATCTTGGGAGCCTCGTTCTGGTGTTAATCACACATTCCTGGGCTGAGAATTTCTTTATTGTATTACCATATATATCTTCATGACTGCTCCATTTAGCAAGCACTTATGGAGTGAAGTGATATTTAAAGAAGACACATATGGGACTTCCATCCTACTCAGGAAGGTTAGACAGATACGATACACATGCCCTCAGAAAGTTAAAGATGGTGTGAGAGAAGGACTTTGGGGTGGTTACACTCTTTTCATTTTTGTGTCTGATAAGCAGGGTCTGCTGTGCTTTTCGCTGTTTCTAAAACTTTCAAAACCTGTTGGATGAGGTATGATAACAGGTTGCATGGACACCAT